GAAGTCTGCCCCAGCCCTGCCCTGGGAGCCCTGCCCTGGGATCCCTGCCCTTCACCCTGAGGTCAGTGTGCTGCCTGACCTTTCTGCTGAAACCGAGATGCTGAGGACCGAGGAGGTCTGCGTGCCCCCCCGAGCTCCCAGCTGTGTGCTGCTAAAGGGGCAGAGCGGGCCGGTGGCTTTCCAGACCAGAGACCGAGATGGCATCAGATTCCAGGGAGACCTCATTAGTCTTTCCAGGATTTAGTCCACTGCAGATGAGGTTCCTTGGTCCCAATTCCAGACCCATAGTCTAGTCTCTGATTGGATTTTCAATCTTTTGAGAGATCTGATCATTTTCCCACAGTGGATACACACATTAAAGTTAATCAATGGACACAGATTAAAGCTGAAGCTGATCTGGAATAAACTGTTTTCTTTCTGAGAGGAACCCACCTAGAGTGGTGGTCTGCACCTGCCAAGTCTGAGGCCTGCCTCCAGCTCCTCCAGGAAGGTGAGACGTGCCCCCCGCCACCGCCAGGCACCTGTGAAGTGGACAATGCTTCCTTCTCCCTGGGTTGTGTCAAGGCCACTATGTGCGTGCCCTGAGGCCTCATGTGCAGGGTGGGGAGGGAACACTGACCCTCTGAGTGGGGGTTTGGGTTCAACCTCCAGGCCAGGGAAAGGCTGTGGACATGACCCCCAGTGGCAGACTCAGGAGAAGGCTCTCAGCGGTTCTCAGTGAGTGGGAGGTGAGGGCCACAGTCCAGAGTGTGACCAGGGACAATGGCCACAGTCCAGAGTGTGCCACAACATGGAGTGGAAGGGAGTGAACGGCCCCTTTCCCCTAGCAAGGCAGGGCAGCTTCCCGTCCAAGGGGCCGCTCTGAGAGCCGCTGGACAGAGTGTGAAATCTTGTCATAGAGACTGCACAACCTGCCTCCTGGCTGAGCCTCAAGAGGGCTGGAGAGCAACAGGGCCAGGGCCACCAGGCAGGGTGCACCTCACTGGCCTCCTGTGTCACTGACCTCCTGTGTCACTGGGCCTTCTGTGCTGTTCCCAGCAAGGACCAGGAGTGGAACAGGCCAACTCACACAAGAGGGTCTTGAGAAGCCTGGGATTTGAGTTTGGAAATGTAGCAGTGTGACAAGGGCTGTGTTCCTAGGCAAGCCCTTGTCACTTGGTCACTCTGGGCAAAGAAAGATCTCTGTGCCTACATTTCTTCCACTGTATCATTAAAATTTTACGTCAATCTCACAAGCCGTTTTTGAAAACTAGAGACAATACCTGTGCAGGAGCTTGATGCCGAGAAGCACTGGATTACTAAGGTATACCTTTTATCATCAAAACCTGAAAACCCACATCTCTGATCCAGCCTGAAGACCTGCCCACCAGAATAGCATCCTGGGAGCCAGATGCAGCCCCACACACCCTAGGGGAAAAGTAGACCTCTCCTCTCTGCCTTCTGGGGAAATGATGAGAGGCTCAGGTCAGAGTGCAGCACCAAGGGTCCTGGGCCCCATTACCCCTCCTGGCCCCAAAGGC